GTCAAGGTGTCTAACTTCGAATATGTTTTTTTAATGAAGTGTGCACTGTCTAGCATATATCGAGGGTCAATATACAAGAAATGCTAGAATCCAGAAGTACCGGTATAGTTTAATTCTTGCCTGTGTATTTGAATTCTTAGTTTCACTTATACATTCTCTATTTACCCAGTAACATATGGGCAATATTTTTGCAAAAAAATGCCAAGTATATTACAATTATATGATGTTTCGAAACTGATATCCACAATATAGATGATCTTACCTCTGATTGGTCAGTTTGTGTTTGTCACACAAGATAGGAGGGTGTGTATTTGAAATCTATTCCGCATTTTACGGAAGATTAACTACACTTGAAAGTTTCGATTTAAACTGAATTGATGTTAAATTAATTTCGATGACTTTATATTCACTTTATATAAAAATGTAACAAGATTAATCTACGAATTTTGTTTTTGCTTGATTGATATTTATAAAGTAGTATTGTATGCAAATTACGGTTACAATCAACGAATACAAGATTCAATTAAAAATTATATAGGCCTCTTAACTTAACATAAAATTTAATCTTATGTGTAAATTGTACATTATGATTAGTTAAGATCCAGCAACTGTATACATCATAACTAAGTTATAATATCATAACTAAGTTATCAATATCATAATGTTATTGCCGTTTTGGCTTATTGCCGTTTTGACCTGCTACCTATTTTAAGCGAAAAATGTCAAATACCAATACGGATGCATTTAGTTATTAAGTCAATAGACAATGTAAAGTATTGAAGAAGGGGTTATTTACTAGCTCTGCTTGGCTCCAATAAATATACAATAAAACAACATGTGTGTAGTACCTGAAAGACCACAGATTTTACGCTTTGCATTTGAAAGGAATCTCTTTACTTTTTTAAATCAAAATAGCAGATTGAAATTATCATTTTTGCTAGGAATTCGAAAAATAAATATATTATTGCTAGGCCTAGTTTGTAGAACTAGAATTCCTTTTTCAAACATCAAGACTTTGAGAAGGATTTTCGAAGATGAATGTGATTTCCGTGGAGATTATGATGCAATTTAAACAAAATGTAACTCACTAAAGTGGAGCTTATTATATAGCTTACAAAAAAAAATACTCGTCAGCCGATACGCAAAGTTCTCGTTGGATATATTCACATGATGAAGAGGAACGGGCGTCAATGAGACAAACTATCAACGTTCTGTGTTTGGGGAAGATAACACAATACAATGACTATCGCTTATTGTTAAACAAATAGCCGAAATTACTGTCGCCTAATGTGACATGACTGAAGAGTTTTCATATTGACTCTACGATAATGTTTCGACTAGACTTAATCAATAAACAACATTATTATAATCATGGGCGCACTTCCTTCCATTATAGGCCTATTAAGTATTTCTCTCTTTATTGAGGGCGTTTTTCAATACTCCTAGTGACTTATCGAAAAATTAGCGTTCATGCTTCAGACTAATTATCGAAATGTACTTGAATATTAAATATTGCCATGGGCATATTCTAGTATCAATTCCTAAGATGTGTGGTATTTTTTTTTTATTAACTTACGTCCTTTTGGTTCAATTATCAAGGATTTCATTTCAAGAAATTTACCTGTTTCTTTGATAAGGAAATTAAGGAAAAGACAAAGCCGAATTG